GCTTTTACCCACCCACCCACCCACCCTCCCACACATACATTATCCCAACTTCTTTCAAAGCTTTTGAGCTACTCTAGACCAGGCTGAAAATGAATACAGAAAAGTTCAACACAATCAGACTATGAAACCTCCATTCTGTATAGAAAAAGGAAAGGAAAGGAAGAGACTCTGGGGTGGGGAAGAGAATTATGAAAGATGGGTTATAGTTTCATGTTATCATTTTACAGAAATTTCTAAAAGAGACTAAGAGAAAAACCATGCTATTAATTAAATCATTTTACAGTCTCGTGACTTTTATCGTGCACTTTTTGTTCTGAAAATTCTAACATAACTGTGCAGAATTACATAAAAGCAAAGTAAAGCCCCTCCTTTCCCACCATAATGCATAATATTAAGGGGTGGGGAACAGAGATCTACCTATTCATGGGGACCATATTCTCTATCTATTCATGTAAGGTGGTCTTTTCCCCCTTTTTTTTTTTATAACACCAAAAAAGAATACAACTAAGTAGAGCAGTATTGCCCTCTAAAATACATAAGCTTTTCACTGTACCTTTCTACTCTGATGTCATTTCTTGCTTCCTCTGAGATGGCCTTGGCTGTTACAGCTATGGCATCCTTCTCAGGTACAGGAAGGGGTGAGTGACAGGGCTCAGGAAAGTTGCTGAGGTTATGGAAAAAGCAGTGACATGATTACTCAGTAGGGAAGTGGTCATTCTAAATTCGTATAATTTTGAATTAGCATGTATATCATAGCAGCAATTCAAAAGTGATGCAGAAATCTACAAAAGAAAATAAAGTTCATTAACTGGTTTAAGTAGCTACTGCTTTACTTTGAAAATAAAAGCATTCTTAGGCTCCCAGAGATGTTCTGTACTTACGCAAACTCAAATTAAGAAAGTTACGCCTCCAAATTCTCTATAGAGAAAAGCAAGCCAAACGCAATAAAACTAGCTACCTGTCATGGGGGACACTGAATAATATCTAAAATCAAAAACAGTGACAATCTGGCTAGCATATATCAAGGGATAGCACATTTTGGACAGCATACGTTTGGTAACTTATATTACAATAATCAAGATTGTGCAGTAGTTGATTTTTTCCCCTGTTTCGTATTGCAGCCCACAAAGAGAACACTGCAGGCCTGATTTAGTTTGATCACCTAAAGGTGGGCAAAACATCATTTTAAGGCTCCTAAGGACCTTTTGCTTGCCTAACTTCAAGAAACGAAGTGTGAAAACTGGGATCCGTGAATACTACCATTACAGATGAGTTAAAGAATCAACAAAAAAATGTAAATCGAGCTGTTTAAAGTCAAGCTCTTCACATGCCTTCAAAAGTCTCTTGCTATATTCAGGCTTTAAAAACAATTTCAGACATTACATTTGGATCCAAAATAGAAGTGGAATGTATTCAAGAGCAGCTAAATGGGGGCCATACTTTATAATTACCAGCCCTAGAAACAATGGATTTATCTATGTAAAGTTTCTATCAACCTGGCTACTGGCAACTCTGTTTTATACAATTAAATTTCAAGTAAGTACCTTTCAGCTGATATCCTGGCTTCAGCAGTCTGAGATGAGCTTTCATGATCCAAATGCATTTCACTCTGCTGATTTTCAACATCAAAATTCGTACTGGCAAAATGCTCCTCTTGCTCCATCCCTGTAATAGTCTCCCAGAGATGTGTTTTTCTACATGTCCCTTGATCTTGAATGCTGGCTTGAAAATCTGTGTTGTCTTCGCCAGTGAATAATGCCCCTGCAGTACCTGCTTTCAGGATGTCTTCTTGTTGCTTATCACTGTACATAGAAGCTTCTATCTCTACCGCGCTTAACGTGGCGTCACTTTGTTCTTTTACATCTCTCTTATTCATGCTGCCAAGTGCTTTTTTAGAGTCATCTCGGGAATGATCAACATGGCTTACTTCATTTATTAAGTAATCTATTAACCCATGGACTGTTGGTTCTTTTTTCTGCTGTGGATCTTGAATGTTGTCTGATATTTCCAGGCATTTTTTATTTTCCAAAGCGTCCAGCATTATTTGTGTGTCGTCTTCAGACTTAACGTCATGCATAAGATTGCTGGGGATCGGTATTTCCTGATTTACACTGGGTGACATAGGAAAATCGTTCTTTTCTACTTCACACTTGCAGAAGTCTCCAGATGCTTCTGTTGATGCTGACATGTCACAAATGCCCTGAGCGGTGTGTGGTGGTTCACTTTCCTTACTTTTCTTCTGCTCATTTGGCATAAGTTTCTGGCATTGATTTCCAGAGAGTATTAGATCTTCTTTAACTAAGACTGGTTCTGCATTAGCTTGCCCCATTAAATTACAATTCTCTGCCTCTGGTACTGCAACACTTTGCAAATCCCTCTTCTGAGCAGCGCCTGTACGTTCTGAAGAGGTACCCGTTTTAGCGGGCTGCTGGTTATTGTCATGAGACACGGCAACGTTCACAGGTGTTGCTTCATCATATGAGGCCGATTCCAGCATTTGTACCTCTAAGCTCACCTGAGCTCCATCATCAACACTGCTAGTATGTGAGCTTTCTTCTCTTTCCATCTTTTCACTGTTTGGGCTGTCATCTAGCTCGAGCAATTCAATCGGAGACTGCTCGACAGCTTGAAAGCCATCCAATTGGGAATCTTTCTTTTCTGAAAGGGAACGGGGCTGCTTCTGTTCCTCAGTGTCCTGGACCTTTGTGTGCAACAACATATCTTCTTGCTGAGCAGATTTCTGCTCAGGAACCTTGCTGGAGATCTCTGAATCTACAGGCAAGTCTTGCCCTTCTATTTTGAAGTCACTGTCTTGTCCTGTATTATGGATGTTTCCATCAACCGTTTCATCGGTGGGCTGTGAAAAGCTCTCAGCACCTTGGCGTCCTGGTGCATCTTTAAGCCCAAAACTCTGCCTGCTGCCTGCATGGTTTTCAGATCCAAGCTGGGGCAATTCGGGATTCAGAGCACCGTGTACCGTTTTCTTAAATATTTTGCTGATGTGCTCCCTGAAGTCTGGCAAGCTGGCACCAAGACCAAAGGTCTTGGAAATGAGAACCTCATGCTCCCTTTCAGAGTTCTCGGCAGACTGTGTGGAAATATCTGTGTCTGGCTTGGTTCCCCCGTTCGCCTCTTTCAGAACATTTTCCTTTTTTTCTGAACTCCCAGGTGTTTCTAAGATCTTAGTGCACTTGTCATCTGTGCAGATATTTGCTGCAATTTCCTCATTACATCCTTCTTGTTTACCAACAGATGAAAGACTTGGAGCCCTCCTTCCTAGGGTAGGCAGACTGAACAGAGACTCTGCGGAGCTGTCACTCTGCAGTGCTTTGAAGTTTACATCACTTTTTGTTCCTTTAGATTTAATTGCAGAGATCTCTTTCTTCAGCTTCTCAAAATTAAACTCTGATAAATTTCCTGAAAACTGTCCTGCATCAGCAGGCTCAGGTGATGTTAAAATGCTCTCCCCTTCAGGCTGGCAGCTTAGGGTATGAATAGTTGTTTCTTTCACACAAGTATTCTCCACCAAAGTGGTTTCTAAATGTACCACTTCAATGCTGTTTTGAGCAGCTTGGCTTGTATGCGATAACGAGCCCTCAAAGTGTCCAGGTAGAATATCCTTGCTAGCCTCTTGCAAATCAGAATCGGCTTCCAAGACACTTTGGTGTGTTGTAACTTCCAGTCCATTATTTAGCAATTCGCCTGCAGTACTATCATCCTTAATGTTTAAAGGCTCCTGGCTTGCTGTGCTCTGATGATCAAGTGCAAAGACTGATGTGGAAAGAAAGGGGATTTCTGTTAGGCAGCTAACTGGCTGAGGCTCATTCGGTGTTTTTTTAACGCAGTCTAATTTACACAAAGCATTGTTGGCAGCTACTTCCAAGTGCTCCTGTAATGTAGGATATTCCTGTGCCCCTGAAACTGTATCAGCATTCGGATGGCTTATTTCTGTGACAGCAACATCCCGTTCAAAATTTGTTTCTGCGCCGTCATCTTTTTGCATGATCTCTCTATCAGAAGTCAGCTCCTTTGCCGTTTCCAGTTCTGAGCTTTTTGCTTCTACTTGTATTTTTTCTTGAGTTTCTGTACTGGGTATTTGAGTATCGTTTTTATTTTGCTCAGGACCATTACCAGCATGTGATACTTTAAAATCAGTTGGCACTGTCTGTGGTATATCAGTGGCATTTACTGAATTCTGGGCCTTTGCAACAGAGTCTAGAGCGTCAACCCCACTTTCACCACTTCTGTCTGCTGTCCTGACTACTTGTACATTTATGTCGGCTGCTCGGGAAAATGGATCGTTCTGACATGCTTCTTCCTGGTTACTAACTGAGATCAAAGAGTCATTCTCCTGCTTGGGCTTGCCTAAGGCTTGCCCACTGACGCAAGTTTCTTCTGCCTTTGGATCTGTTTTAGTTTGATCATTGTATTCTTGCAAAGTAGTCACCTTTAGATCTAAATTTTTCTGCAGATGCTCACTCTGGCCTATATTCCTCTGCACTCCAGCCATACTCATATCCAAGTCATTTCCTTTTGTAGCATCAGCATTACAGCTGAACGGTTCTGCCCCTAACACAGGAGGTTCTGTTTGAATGCTGCCTGTAATATCTAGTGATGTCTCTGATATGCCCTGGAGGTCACTCTGACAACTTTTCTCCAATACATGCTCATGTTTTGGAGCTATTGCCCTACACTCGTCTCCATCCTCAGCTATCACAGTTGTCAGATTGCTTTGGTGCTCCTTCTTTTCAAGTCCCACATAGGAAGCATGCTGCTGAATACTGTTGGCAGCAAAGTCCGTACTCTCTCTTTGCTCTGCACGTAGTAGGGTTACTGAAACTTCTGTCATTTCTTGCATTTCTACAGTGTCACTTTCTAATGGCTCTGGGCAACCACTTTTGTCACACTCAGAGGGTCCTATTTTGCCACTGATTTTGCTGTCACGCAGTTCTTCTATATTCCCTTGTGTTTGCTGAGAACTGAGCTCCACGGTGTTTGCTGCTGCTTTGGGGGTTTCAGGCTCAAATAGTGGCACACTTTTGTTCCTTTCTGCGGCCCCTTTTTCCTGCCAAACTTGCATTAGTGTATCGGATTTGCACGCACCTGTCAATGCCAAAACTTGGTCATCCACAAAACTTTTCACATCCACTCCGCATTGCTCCTGTGCAATTCCATTATTGTCTTTAATCTCTACAGTACTGCTTTGTTCAATAACATTTACATGTATCTGCTCAGGATCACTCTCGGGGACTTTAGTTACTTGATTGTTCTGTTCTTCGTTTTCACCTACATAAAAGGCCTGTCTAATTTTTACAGCGACGCAGTTTGCAGTTCCTGCCAATTCACATAAGCCCTCAAATTCAGGTTCTGTTTTGGGTGTTTCTACATTTTCTTCAGGCCCTCCATTGCTCTGAAATAGTTTGTGATGCTCAGCCTCGTACGCTGACTTCAGTGTAGTTTCTTTAGCACAAGCCTGTTCCCAGGATTCGTCCTGCTTAGTCTGCATAATGTTATTGTTCTCAGGGTGCAGGAGCAGTGAACTGTGTGCATTAACTAAGCAAACCTTTTCAGTCTTCTTAATGCCTGGCACGTCTAAACTATTGTCTTCTTTCTTACTGTTAAAATGATCACAACTCGGCAGGCTCTCTTCCCTGGGTAACTGTGGTGCTTCCAAAAGGGGAAAGCTGCACTTATCCTCCAAGTTATGCAGGGCAATTGCTTTATCTTTGCTCACTTGTTGAAGTTTGCAGTGGAAATGGAGTATGTTATCTTCAGATACCTCCAAGCTGCTCTCTGAATTCATAGGCTTTTGCTCAGCTTTTTCACCAACATTGCTTTTTAAACTCTGTTCTGAAAAGTTGATTTCTCTGGAAACCTCACCCAAGCTGGCATCCTTCATGTCCTCCTTGTCACTATTAAAAAAGTTTAACAACAGCCCTTCTGCCTCATTAAACCCCTCAGGTAATCCCCTGGCTTCTGCCACCTGCGCTTCCTCCACTCGGTCTTCCTCCATAAAGACTTCATTTTTTTCTCCGGGTACTGTGGCGTCCGTTTCTTTTAGATGCTGTTCTGGGGTTATATTCCCAGAAGTAAAACTTAATGAATCATTTTCCGGTGACAGTCTTTCATCCACCAGGGTGGGATTCATAACATTTTCTGTGTTAGAAAGTGTGATGCTTTCTCCAGACACACTCTCAGGTTTTATGATTCTGTTGCTGTTGCCTTGATCTTCTCTGCTACCAGATGCAACATTTAGTTTTTGCTCTTCATCCACAAGAGGCAATGGAGGCATGTTGAAAGGCTCAGAGTGAACAAACAAATCTACCTTGGGAGCATCTCCTTCAAACGTGGGTTCGGGTGTTTTGGAAGTTGTTTTTTGTCCATTGTGCCTGGAAGACTCTTGGCACTCATTTACGAGCATGTATTCCCTTAAAGGGTCTTCTACCTTTGGTACCAGGAACAGCTCTGGAAGGTTAAGAGCCAAGCCTGGCATTAAAGTGCATGCTTCCAATTGCTTCCCATTGTTTTCAGAAGGAGGTTGGTTTGATTCAACCCCTTTACCTGCCATTATATCTCCGCTAGCTAAGCTGATGATATTTCCAAGCGCAGTATTATCAACCAAATTCTGAGCATTCACAACTGTTCCATATTTTTCACTGTCTGGGCCTTCTGTTGTTGGATGATTTAGGATTAAGGTTTCCTCTTTCATTAACAAACCCTCTCTACCATCTGTGTTCTGTCCACCTAGCTGTATTACATTCTGCTCCTGATGACCTACTTCCAAAAATCCCGGCTCCTCTTGAGTGGTAAAATAATCTTCTGCGGCTTTACCCTGGGGTAATGAGATGACATGTGGCTCCCGCTTGTCACCCAGCTGCTCACTCTGCCATAATGGTTGCAATTCACTTGAATTTGCTGGGATAATGCCTTGTGTCCAAGTAGCTTCTGTAGAAGGGCTGGATTCCAAGCTTGCAATTTTTGGATCATCATCACTCTTTTTGAGAGGATAGGCAGCGGTATTGTCACATTTTGGGCCACTGTCCACAAATAGGGCATGTGCCACTCCTAGGTCTTTGTCATTCACAGGGGAAAACACTATTGCACTGCTATTTGGGACTGGTAAATCATCACTGCTGCCTGTCAGATCAGCTGCAACATATTCATTGGCACATTCTGCAAAAGGCATTGAGATAGGCAGGCTTCTCTCCTTAGCATCTGCTCCTGCAGCCTGGATTAAGAAGCTGGAGCCAACTTGTTCTCCATGTTCTTTCAGGATATTGCTCTGGCCTGTCACCGCTGAAGACACTGCACATGAATGCGGATTGAGTAAATCTTCAGCAGTGTAGCTACAGATGCCTTCATTACCGATGCTGCCAATAATGGAAATGTTTATTCATTTCATGTCAGAATAGGAAACGGAGCAAAACATAAAAACAGCTCATGCCACTGAAGTTTCAAAGCCATGCAGCACATGCATTGAAAAGCTAACAACCTGCTCTCAAGAGGCAAGGTGTCAGAGAGAGACACTGCAGTTGCTCAGTCATTACACTGAAGCTAACTTTCTCAGCTTTGTCTTGTTGCCATCACACTTATTGTTACCTCTCCAGAAATGCATTTAATAAAGGGGTTCCCCTTCAAAGTGCTACAGAGAAACAAGAAAGTCCTAAAATATTAAAAACTAAGGGGTCGGGGGAGGGGTGAATCACACCACAGAAATGTTTTAATTTTTTCTAGAAAAATCCTATCAGCAAAGTTAAAAAAAAAAAGAGGTTGTGTAGCATTAAAGGAGTGTGATGTCCATTATCATCACCATTATTTCACAGTGCTTTGCTTAATCTTCAATTAAGCAATAAAGGTCCCATCTGTCAGACAGGCACTTCCTGGTATAGGGCTTATTTCTGTGAGTTTGGCAGTTCCACTGATTTTATTTGAACTATTCATAGTAAAAAGCACTACACCTGCTGTAAAGAACAGGCACGTTTTATGATGAAGGCAAAAGTCACAGCACATAGAGCTGCACTGTCATGAAATACTATACAACTTGCCAGGTCCTTCAATGCGTATAATTGATTATGGTATAAATTTTTCCATCAAGGAAACGAAGGTCATGGCAGAAGAAATGAAGGAGGGCGGGGGGAGGG